AAAATGTGATCAAATGTCCTTATTCCCTGTTTTATACTAATAGAAATTTCAGGGTTTTGTTTCAGGGTTAGGTTTTATGCGAAAATAAATGTTTCAGATCTGAAAGTCTGAAATCTGGGCGAGAGATGGCGCTATATGCCTAAATGATAGCCATTTTGGTTTTCGATTATCGCGCAAATAAAAGCAATAAAATATTCCAGTCAAATTACTGTAACAAAGAATCTAAAACACAATATTACACGTAGGTAGGTAGGTAGGTAAATTTAACAAAATCGAATGAATCTAGATGGTCATTTACATTTTTGCCAAATGGTGAGCGTGGCTCGAAAGTAGGTCGACCGGCGTGCTCCAAAATAGGACGTTCAAATTCCTCCCATAGGAGGTTGTTACTCCCAACTGTATGCAATTTGAAACATGTGGGTCAAACTGTTCTTGAGTTATCGTTGACCGTAGGCAGACACTGAAATACATAGTGAAATTGGCCAAATCTACCTAATTTGCATAATTAAAAAAAAAATCAAAACCTGTGTGATATGTTTTGGGGCCAGTCCTTATTCATTCACATACCAAAAATGAGCAATATCCATTGAACCTGAACTGACTTATGGCCATTTCCATTTTTGCCAAAAAGTGGGCGTGGCTCGAAAGTAGGTCAACTGGCGTGCTCCAAAATAGGACGTTCACATCTGTCCCATAGGAGTAACAACTGTATGCAATTTTAAACATGTGGGTCAAATGGTTCTCAAGTTATCGTTGACTGTAGCCAAATGTTGACGGACAGACGGACGGACGGGCGACACCCTATGACAATGGCTCATCCTGACGATGTCAATGTGAGCTAAAAACTTAGTCTTAACATTAATCTCATCATTAACTTGTTCTTGTAGACTGAACCCTAGATACATTGCGCATAACGAACTCGTAACTATACCATGTTCACACACTCAATGATCTATGAGACAAAGTCAATGTTAAGACTAATGTTAAGACTAATTTTCTGTCCCCAGTACAACAAATCTACATAATAAGTGAACAGACATAGCAATATTTAATGATGGGGATGATAAGCAGGGGGGGGGGGTCTAAAGACGAACCCTCAATGGGATGGAGTGTGGTCAGGAGAAAGGTGCAGGTTTATTACAAATAGAATGATTTATTTTATTAAAATAAATTACAATAACAAATTATTCGAGTTTTATTTCTTTATTTTTACCACTATGTCATGAATCAGTTTTTTTTTCAACAAATAATTGTAGGTGGCCTGCTTTGCTTTCATACGTAAAGTTCTTGATGGATCGGAGCTAAATGCCCTCTCACCATTAGTATTCATGTATTTGGTACGATTGGGTTTACATAAACATCAAAACTTCGGTGGTATGAGTAAATGATTTTTATTTGTGTACTTTAACTTTATGATTTAAGTCCCTGTAGATTGTTGAGCTTGGCTCATGTAAAATAGGCAGTGATTGGGGAATTTTTTACCGGTCTACATTTTGAACATTTCCTAAAATTTGGTACGAGGGAGTGGAAAGTGAAATCGAAAAGCAGGTGTTTGCAGTTTTTTTTTTAGAAACTATCCAACTGGGAGCACTTGCTACCTCTGGAGATAACCATAGAGTGAGGAATACGGAGAACATTCAATAAAAAAAAACATCCATGACATCACGCTCCTGAGATATCCATTCTCGAAACAATGTAGATTATGTTTACCTTTCTCAGAGCAGCATCTCTCTCCTCCAAGACGACCCTCATCTCCTCTGCTGACACCTGGCGGTGGGTTTTCTTGTGCGCTCGCAGGCGTTCCAAGATGGCCACAGCGTGATGCTCAAGAGCCTTTGCTGACTCATCTCTGCTCAGCTCCAACAACAGTGAGCTGATCGTCTGCAATCAAAAAGAGATAAATAAAAAATACGTAACACAAAAAGACACAAAGTGTAACAAAGTAAAAACAACAAGTAATCACGACATGGAACCAGGTTACTCTCATATATCTTTCTAACTATACAAAAAAATTATACAATAAGCATTCGAAAACATAGCAAACCCAGCAGAATGGAGCAAGAGTGGAGTTATGGATCAAGTATTGCAAAATGTTTGGCAAAACAATAACAAAGCTACAGTAAGACCAGATGTAGCAAAGACCACCACCACCACCACTACCACACATATTAGTAGCACGACGTAGCCATCAACGGTGTCACAGTGTAGAGTCCTGGCTCACTATTACATATAATGAAGCTATAGCAGAAACTTACAATATAGCAACATGCTACCTATGCTGATTCCCGGAACATTTGATGCTCCGTTTAAAATGACCTATAGAGCTTTTGTAAACCGGATAGTGCTGCCGTGATGATTTTCATCATCAACCGAATCATTGATGATGCCAAAGACACTACTAAACGCATGTGAGTGTGGCTACGTGTACGCCTTAAACTACTGATACAAGACTAACTGCATGTATCGTATCGCAATTTTACACTACCAGCGGATCTAAAGACACCATTGCTAGGAAATCGTGCTAATCAAAAAGCTCAGCTCGATGAGCTTTCCTTCACTAAATAATGCAATGGTCATTAATAATGAATTTCTCCCCCTGATCACTATGAACCTCATCCACGCTGCACCTATCACCGATAACACGTCCTGAGTCTCAGTCCTGTTATATGATACACGATCTCGTAATGTGATGGATTTTGTGTCGAGATTGTTAGAAGTATCACTGAATCGAATTCATATTTCTGAAGTTAGATTGAATGGCTGCCGTACACGAGACGACTTGTAGTGCATATATAGCAACCAGTGTGTTTTCATACAAAGGGAGGATCTATCACATTACCACTTGGCCCGCTGATGTCTTCCTTGGTTGAATACTTTGTAGTAAAATTATGCAATTTTAACAACATTTTCAATTTCTATAAGTATATTGCTGCTCTATCAGCCAGCCAGCCCGCACACACTACACGTATCTTCATGATAGAAATATGCGGCGGTGTGCTCTGGCTGGGGTTGCCTGTGCACACAATACTCTGTTGGGGCCAAAAAACACACTAACACACTCACTCCACTGGTAAAGCTTGAATTATCTTTCACACAAACATGAGAGCGAGGTGGGCGGCGCGTAATAAGTTAATAACCACTAATGTTATGTATGACAGCGCGTGCTGTCAGGCTGCGAACTTCTCTCGGCCCGCACGCACACACACACATATACATCCGCGCGTACCTATATTAGTACGACTGAGTATCGCTGTGCACCTATCTCTACGCGGAATCCCTCGCAAACGTCAAATATTGTCATACGTCGAGGATTATCTGAACCGTCAACGCGCAAAACTTTATAACAAACACGGAAGCAGAGTTGCGCCCGGCTGAAAGGAGACATTTAGCTACAGACTGAACAGTCAATGGAATTACATTGCGGAGGGAGCATAAGTAAACCAGCCAGACAAACAAGAGCTGGGAAACTCGGTGCAGCGTCGGCCCATATAGGGAGGGACGCAGCAGCCATCCCTCCCTATCGAGGACTCGACGCTCGCATGTTTTTCGTATAAACTCCACTTGTTTAAAATATATTTACTTAAAAGTGAGAGCAAATAGTTAGGTGGCGCGCGAGAGAGAGCGTGCACCTCGGCTGTGTAATACCTTGATCAAACTGTTTAGACGTATGTACCGAACGGAGCTAAGTCAACCTCCCCGCTGCACACACAGATATACACGCGCGCGCGAGCACGTGTACACATACACACACACACGCAAAGCATACACCCACACGTAAACACACACGAACGCACGCTCACACAAACACACACGCACACACACACGCACACACACACACCCGCGCGCGCGAGCACACACGCACACACACCCGCGCGCGCGAGCACACACGCACACACACCCGCGCGCGCGAGCACACACGCACACACACCCGCGCGCGCGAGCACACACGCACACACACCCGCGCGCGCGAGCACACACGCACACACACCCGCGCGCGCGAGCACACACGCACATCCATCTGAACCAGCACATGATCTCACGTACGCAGGCATACACACACGTATGCGCGCACTCATTCACCCACCCACCCACACACGTACGCACGCACACACACACACACACACACGTGCAGTGCCAGGGTGCCGCGCACTTCAGTCTTGTTGATCTTCCCAAATTATTTTAGTCATCTCTCAGCCTCGAGTTCTATTGACACAGTTCGATGTGGACAACGCTTGTGGGAGGGTTGAGAAATGCTAAGGCGATGTTCACCTTACTGATCGCTGGGAATCACCGACAAAATCAACATGTACTGTGTGCGCGCCGTACCCGTGAGCACAAGCGGCTGCTGGTCGGCCAGCAAGACCATCTTCATTTAATATCTGGATCAAGCGTGTTTGCTTTGACGAAAATCTGCCCGAAAATGATGGCTACAATGAACTAAACAAACTCGATCAGCGGGGCTTTACGTCAGAAACACGAGCCACCGGTTGGGTAAAACACTTGACGGGGGAGGGGGGAGGAGGGAAATATTCGCCATATTTACACTTACACAGCAAGCCTGCTATTGTGAACAGGTAAAGTGTTTAGAAAAGCTAAACGAGAGCTTCGCATTTCTTTCATACAGTTCCCATGTATATAAATTTTCGTTTGTGTGTTCGCATGTGTGTGTGTAATATACATAAATGCACGCACACACAAAAACACGTCTATCGCGGGTGTTTGTGTGTGTTTGTGTGTGTTTGTGAGTGTGTGTGTGTGTGTGTGTGTGTGTGCGTCTGTGCGCGTTTACGTGTGCGTGTATGTAGGTGATATATGATGTATCGTCAGAACGATTTGCTCTTAATATTTTGTGAGTGACAATGACATGGCAGCTCAAACAGAAAGCAGAAGACAAAGAATGCACCCCAAATCCCTCCCAATATCGTACATACACGCACATGCACACGCCGCTAGCTATGGATCCTGTCATATGGATGCCGAAATGATGTCCCTATTTTCTTCAAGAGCCTTTAGTAGCCAACGGTGAGGAATATTTCTTCGTTTTGTATCCTTCATTGATTCATGACTAAATTTAACAATGCGGTTCTTGTGTACACCACGTAAGTCCAAGAAGTGAAAACAGACGAGTTCCTATATTGTTACGAGTGTCTTCGTATCGAATGTTTCGCACTTACACTAGCAATTAATAACACTTGCTTTTCATTACTTATTCTTCCATGGAAACGTTCTAAAGAGTCAAAAGCCTTCAAGAGTCCAGCGTCGAGTTAAAAAAAATATATAACCCACCACCATTATTCCACAACATTACATGTCAGATTTCACGGATAAATGTTTCTCTTAGTGATTTATTTTTACTCGTTGTTTTTTTATGGGGAGGACAGCAGCATCTACGTAACTATCAACAATTCAAAGTTCGTCAACGATTTTGTTCAAGATGTACACTCTACTGATATTTGCTCACAGAACATTTTAGTCGCTATGTCTGCCAACATCTTCGAAAATTTATCTAGTGTCGAATATCTTCATGATGTATTCGAATCATTGAAATGCGTGAGTGTTCCACACTTCCACACTTCTATAAAACAGCAAGGGACGCAGCTCGCTTGGCTATCCAGTCAAAACTCTGGACCCACTGCTGTAAACGACGCAAGCGAGACGGGCAAGCAGCGGCCAGGACTTCTGGCTCAGAAGAGCGAGAGAGTGAGAAAAAGATAAAGCAGGAGAAAGCGAGAAAGAGAGAGAGAGAGAGAGAGAGAGAGAAACGGCATGCAGGAGCGAAAAAAGAAAACATTCTTCTGACAATCCTAGCAGACAAACTCAAGGCCTTCCCGGTCCCGGCGCGAGTGTATTACCCGTCGACAGAATTCGTCTTTGTTTGGGTCCTCGGCGGAGGATGCCCGGCACAAATAAATTGCCGCTGCGTGAATGGGGGGGGGGGGACTGGTTCAGACTCGGCACAGATTAGGTTTTTGTTAGCTTTACCATATTTGTGTTTCTCATTACCGAGTTTATTTTCATTTTTTCGCCCGTCATGCCAGCGCGCCGCGTAATCGCGCTGCGCTGCCGAAATGCCCGGGTGCCGATCTCACCCGGATCACAGGGCGCTTTGCACCGCAGGGGGAATAGCAACGTCCTGTCGGCCGCTGGGCGCCACACATCCGACTCGGCTGACAGGTGATGGGAGGCGCGGATGGCAGCCGGCTGCGTAGGCGAGACTGACATGAAGAATTCTGCGACGGGGAGATTTGCGGCAGTGTGTCTCGGCGGGGTTGAGCGGGCAGACAGCATGCGACGTCCCTCACTGTGGATAGCCTCGGGAACGAGGCAACCCTCGGCCCTCTGTATCTTCATTCGTTTAAAGTGATTACGTCACCGTAAATAGTAAAAGTAAAAAAAAGCGATTCTGTTCACTTTCATGGTTATGTTGCTGCATTATATTGCCTTACATATGCCTCTGATTGAGAGACAACATATTGATATTTTTAATTGAAAAAAAATCACTTCAGTCTAATCTGGTGCTGTGTGGTGCTCAGCATTCTCAGCAAATTCATAGTTTGCTTATATGGACCTGGTTAGCCTGTCCTACATCAGAAGGAAATCTTTTGTCTCACCCCATGAATGCTTACATATATTAGTCACACATCTATAAATGTAAAGCAGACTTAGCTTTTCCCGCAGGTCTATATACCTAGTATTGTACACTATGAACCATCGGCAGAGGTGGGAATTCTTTTAAGTGTACATTTAGATTTTTGCTAACTCAATTACTGGTATCAAAGTTCAATGCTACACAAATAGAGCATAAGCCAATAATAACACATTTTCAGATTAAAGGTCATTACAACGAAATAAAATAATTATAACTCCTTCAACAAATCTTCTTTTAATTTAATAGGACAGGTTTCTGTGGGAAATTTTCAACGTTCTTGACTAAGAAATAGTGAATTAATTTTAGAGTTGCTTATAGATATTAGAGAATGAAATTAAATTAAATTAGCATATAACGCTATCATTTATAAGGTAATACGTATAAATATTTAAAATAATTTGTAATTATGCATATACTACTCTAGGCTTAGGTTTATGACAGAAAAGATGAAAATTAACTTTCTTACCTGATCGGTTGCACCCAAGCTCTCCAATCCTACATAGGTGCTGTAAAAACGTCAAGTTTATAGTAATGTACAGCAGGACGTTTAAAAATACAATTAAAACACTGATATAAATGTTGCAGACTTTATAGTGTAAAATATTAATTAAACATTTACACATTGATAGAAATATGAAATTTGAGTTTCTATCACTGACAAGTTATCAGCTTGATTACTTATATACGATGAAGTTTTAAAGCCTTTTAGCAATGACCAAAATTTATGGCAATTTGAATGGACATGTACACAGACGTATGATGTTTTTATTTTAATCAATACTATAAATATTGACTAGGAGCTATAATATGAATTCGCTATTCCATGGATACATTTATTTTGTTATTATTATTTACGCCAAACTTCTCAAACACTAGAGATATACAATAAAAAAATTCCTTTTGAGAATATTTCTTCTTAAAGTTTAGCCAAGTTTCCCCATCCCTGATTGGGAATTGGGGTTGAATCATTAGTGTAACAACAATCAATAAATTAGTGTAAATGGTAAGCTAATGAAGAAAAATTAACAAGCTTCTCATTCAGACCGTTGGACCACTATTACCAAACACAGAATGGAAACATGCTCTTTGGCCTCTGCCATATGAATTCAAAATTTGAACACTTAAATTTCTTTAACTGATATGCTAAATAACAACAACCAGTGTGACTTTGCAAATAACATATGATGCCAAAACTACCAATGGCCTTGTGTAATCATAATTTCACTGACGGTAAATGAAGGCGAATAATTGTGAAAATCCTACGGTATAATTATATATGCATATTAAAATTCTAGTCAATATCAGCATCTTTTATAATGTTAAAGGTTGCTTTCTGATTAATCACTACAATGAATGTGTCTCATTTAAAGCACACTGTTCCATATGGTGGGAACATACAAGCTTTGGTGGCAAGTTCAACAAGCGAACATGGCATAGTGGATAGATTGCTGCTACGTGAATGCAAGCACTTATTGCGCACGCCTCTTGCCTGACAATAGCGTACGGTTCTGTCATTTCCTGTATTTCCTTCCTATGTTTGTATTGCCAAATTACTCTTTGCCGGGTAATTCGCTGCAAGAAGAGCGATTATTTTGTTTTCGTAAATTATTTATAGCATATTTGTACTGCGTGAGCGGCAAAGCATCGTGTTATGTCGTATGTGTATGGTCGCCATGATAATCAATCAGTTGCCATGGTGACCAAACTTGCATGCCGAATTGGTGCCACTTGTGGGTCAGTTTCATGGCAGTGTTTTGTCTGCAAATATTTCCTTAAACTTGTTTCGAGAATTTCTGAGTGCATAGACGCACTCGACCATTATTAGAGCTGCAGTCGGCTTGCTTCAGCTACCACCAGACTAACTCACACATGCATCAATGGATAGACTCCCTTTCCCTTGGACATGTACATGGACGCATGCTAAATGATTGGGCCCATTGGGGTGGAATTTCTACTCTCGTTTACGAAATGCATTGTTTGTTTCTTCACTAGACTGCTATGTTATAAAATCAAAACCGCACAAACACACCTGACGAAGGACTTGCTCACGTATCGACTAACTCACTTCAAACATGCAAAACATAAAGTAAACATTACAAGTACAGAAAAGAGGTTCCTCTGAAATGTTACGACGGGTAGTCATGAACTTATGAACAAAGCCAGTGCAAAGCCAAGCATGTGCGTTCATCTCGCGTGCAGATTCCACATGGTTGGGAAAACGCACACGTATTTTTCTCAGTATGTTGTGGTCATTAGCAAGCAGTATAGGATTGGGGTGCAGTTTTACAGTTAAGTGCATTATTACAATTAATGCGGAAACCTACACAAAATTCAGAATTAATCGAGTTCATATTTTCACTAGATCTTATTATCGCACCTTTTATTTTCCATTTGCAAGGCATGAAGACGGGCTATGGCAGCATCTCGCTCCTGATTAGCCATCTGTATTCTAGCCGTCATGGCTGCGTCTCGCTGCTTCTGCGCCCAGTAGATCTTCTCAACAGCGTCTAGACAGACATTGATTCAAACATGAATACATGCACACCAATCATCAGTCACTTAGTGCATGAAACATCACACGCATAGTTTTAATTCCTTTATGCTGATGGAGTTTCTTTATAAATGATCGAAATTCTTTTTGCAAATTTGCAAGCACCCATTGCCGTTAGCTCAAATCTGAACTTAATTAGCAAGAATTTAATAAATTTTCACAAGTTACGTAGTATGACAACTTTTATAATAACTGCTTAATTACACAATTTCATTTAACATTTATGGGATATATTGTGCCTATAGATATAGAAAATTTGCCTAATAGAAAATGACAGATAAATGTATATGCTATTATTAGTACAAGGTAAACGAATTTTGTTTCATATTTTATATAAAAGAGCAGGTTTAAACTATTTCTGAATGCAAAACTGAATGCAATAATATGAGGGGGCATGAAATGTTTCTCAAATTGAAATCATCAGCCCCTATGCAGACAACACCTGAGATGTATCGCGGAGCCTTGAACAGAGGGCAGCACCTTCTATCAACCCCAACCACACATTTCACATGAGTACATACATTTTATATGCAACTTCTGGCATAAGAAACGGACAACCTCCCAAACTTGTAAAATCAAACTATGCACAACCTAACTATAAAATGTTGTCATAAGGCCACAGGGGCAACATATCATATCCCTCACAATCCAAGTGTGAACAGGAAACGTTCTACACAAATTTAATGTGAACTTTTGGTTAGTGATTGTGGTGTGGTGTCTGTGAGTTGTGGATTAGTACGAGATTCCTCTGACCAATGCCCATACCAACGATTTTGGTGGATTTGGTGTGGGTTAGGTCAGAGCAACTTGCCTATACAAAACGTGGAATTTCTCCGATCCCGCCGAGGATCGCTGTTTTATCGCTCCAAACTCACAATTAGGGCTATCAATCAAGACCTGACGCACATAGATCGAAAACTGGATAACTTATATGCTTACTCGCGTTGGTAAGTACACTTGTACTATTTTACCTTAGTCGTATTTCGATTTGAAAATTTGTTGCTAACAATTTCCCTCCGACATCGGCCATCCATCGTCCAATGCGTGATGTCAGGTGACATGCGCGCAAGTGTCGGAATCGTGATCGCAAGATGGCCGATGTCGGAGGGAAATTGTTAGCAACAAATTTTCAAATCGAAATACGACTAAGGTAAAATAGTACAAGTGTTCTTACCAAAGCGAGCAAGCATATAAGTTATCCAGTTTTCGATCTATGTGCGTCAGGTCTTGATTGATAGCCCCAATTGTGAGTTTGGAGCGATGAAACAGCGATCCTCGTCGAGATCGGAGAAATTCCACGTTTTGTATAGGCAAGTTGCTCTGACCTAATACACACCAAATCCACCAAAATCGTCGGTGTGGGCATTGGTCAAAGAAATCTCGGACTAGTTGTGGATGTGATCTCGCTGAAAAAAGCACGAAATAACATTTTGGAGATCTGTTAATTATAAGCACACGTGATGAGTTGCACATTATAGGTGAGTGTCATGTTTAACATGTGACGTGATCATGCAAATAAAATTCTCATAATCTTTATAATGGAAATACAGTCACTTCCATGCATAATTCTGCACTCCACTTTCTCATTTCCTTTTTCTTACCAAAATGCCGCAGATATACAAGAACTAAGCCTGTGCACATTATTCATGCAATGGCATTTTAATATGATTAAGGAAGCATATTTATATAATAGGAATACATTTTACTGCATCTGTTGGCTGCAAAAAGAAAAACACAGTAACATGGGTATAATAACGACCATGTGTTATAAAAATGCTAATACAGACATGTGGGTGATTGTTATGAGCTGGCACTACTCATTCCTCTCACATCATATAACTCAAGTGATACTTACCTAGGTATGGTTGATGATAGCTTTATTTTGCAACTAAAGTTACTTAAGTTGTATGTAACCAGCCACTATCAAGTTTCTTTGTTTTATAGTGTATATTCACTAGTGATGTCCCGATGATCGATTATTATTGAAAGTCAGTCGTTTGCAGCAACCGTCTAAGCACTCGATTATGAAAATAAATAATCGATTATCAAAAGAAAAAGAAAAAAAAGGAATAAAAAAAAAATTAAATTAAATTTGCAAATTACATTGATGAAATGACTCTATATTTTATTTTTGTGTTTTTTTGGTTACTTTACAGCTTGGAGACAGCAAAATCTAACCTACACCAAACATAAATTAAAGCCAGCATAATACTGTTACATGGCTTTTAGAATATTGTATTATAAACAAGTGCCGCAGAGTGACAGCG